ATGGCCATTTCAGTGCCATCGCCTCACCTCTCCTCCTCCCCTCTCCTCCCTCCCTCCCCTCCTCCCCTCCTCCTCCTCCCCTCCCCTCCTCCTCCCCTCCTCCCCCCTCCCCCCTCTCCCACCTCCCCCCTCCCCCTCCCCTCCTCCTCCCCTCCCTCCCCTCCCCTCCTCCCCTCCCCTCCCTCCCCTCCCCTCTCCCCTCCCTCCCCTCCCCTCCCCTCCCTCCCCTCTCCTCCCTCCCCTCCTCCTCTCCCCTCCCCCCTCTCCCCCTCCCACCCCTCCCCTCCCCTCCCCTCCCCACTCTCCCCTCCCTCCCCTCCCTCTCCCCCTCCCTCCCCCTCCCCTCCTCCTTTCCTCCTCTCCTCCCTCTTCTCCTCCCTCTCTCCCCTCCTCCCCTCCCCTCTCCCTCCTCCCCCTCCCTCCCCCCTCCCCTCCCTCCCCCTCCCCCTCTCCCCCTCCCTCCTCCCCCTCCCTCCTCCCTCCCGCCTCCCCCTCCCACTCCTCCCTCCCTGCCTCTCTCCTCTTCCCTCCCCCACCACCTCCCCTCCTCCTCCCCCTCCAGCTCCCCTCCCCTCCCCTCCTCCCCTCCCCTCCCTCCCCTCCTCCTCCCTCCTCCCTCCTCCCCCTCCTCCCTCCCCTCCCCTCCCCCCTCCTCCTCCTCCCCTCTCCTCCTCCCCCTCCCCTCCTCCCCTCCCCTCCTCCCTCCCCTCTCCCCTCCCCTCCTCCCCTCCCTCCCTCTCCCCTCCCCTCCCTCCTCCCCTCCCCCCCTCTCCCTCCTCCCCCTCTCCCTCCTCCTCCCTCCCCTCCCTCTCCCTCCCCTCCTCCCCCTCCCCTCCTCCCCTCCCCTCCCCTCCCCCTCCCCTCCCCTCCTCCCCTCTCCCTCCTCCCCTCCCTCTCCCCTCCCCCTCCCCTCCCCTCCCCTCTCCCCTCTCCCTCCCTCCCCCTCTCCTCCTCCCCCCTCCTCTCCCTCCCCCTCTCCTCCCCTCTCCCTCCTCCCCTCCTCCCTCTCCTCCTCTCCCTCCTCCCTCCTCCCCCTCCTCCTCCCCTCCCTCCCCCCCCTCCTCCTCCCTCCTCTCCTCCCTCCCCCTCTCCTCCTCCCCCTCCTCCCTCCCCTCTCCTCTCCCTCCTCTCCCTCCCCCTCCCTCCCCCTCCCTCTCCTCCCTCTCCCCTCTCCCCTCCTCCCCTCCTCCTCCTTCCCTCCCTCCTCCCTCCCCTCCCCTCCCTCCCCCTCCCTCCCCTCTCCCCTCCTCCTCTCTCCTCCCCCTCCTCCTCCCTCCCCTCCTCTCTCCCCTCCCCCTCCCTCCCCTCCCCTCCCTCCTCTCCCCTCCTCCTCCTCCCCTCCCCTCCTCCCCTCCCCTCTCCTCCCCTCCTCCCCTCCCTCCTCCCCCTCCTCCCCCTCCCTCCCTCCCCTCTCCCCTCCCTCCTCCCTCCTCCTCCTCCTCCCCCCTCCTCACTCCTCCCTCCTCCTCCTCCCCTCTTCCTCCTCCCCCTCCCCTGTCCCCTCCTCCTCCTCCCCTTCCTCCTCTCCAGTCCTCCTCCTTTCTCTCTCGGTATCTTCCTTCTTCCTCCTTACTCCTGAGCTATGGGGAAGATGGTCAGGAAGACAGCTCCTTTGTTGTGTCTGCCTGTAAGCTGGGGAGGAGGAGGGAGGAGGAGGGAGGAGGAGGAGGAGAGAGGATGAGAGGAGGAAAGAAGCGATGAGGAGGAAAAAAGGGAGGGATGCGATGGGAGGTGAGGTGAAGACAGGGAGAGAAAGGCTATGAAGAACCAGGGAGGAAGAAAGAGAGAAATGGAGAAGAAGGGGTGGAGAGCAAAATACCTGAATAGGAAGGCGACTGTGTAAAATGGTTCAATGCCGGGAGATAACGACTGGGAGGAAAGGAGAAGAGTGAATGGGAGAGGAGGAGGAGTGAAGGAAATGACAAATGAGGCTAAGGGAGGAGGAGGCAAGACGGAGAGGAGAGAGAGAAGCGAGGGAAGTTATCTTATCACGTTTTCATTGTGGATGTACATGAAATATATATATATATATATATATATATATATATATATATATATATGTGTATGTAGTATTAATAACGTTTTGAAAAAGTTCTGGCGAAACGAAAATACCATTAACACAACAAAAGCGTTCATAGAAGGTGAACATGGAATTAATGTTTTGCGGAGGTCGTAGATCATGTGAGCTGGTGTTGGCAACAGACACTAGTGTGTACTCCCTCACAGATGGCGTTATGAGGCATCGTGGGTAGTAGTTCCCTCACAGGTGGTGTTATAGGGGCCTGATGGTGTAGTAATTCCCTGCAGATGGTGTTATAGGGCCTGATGATATAGTAATTCCCTCACAGATGGTGTTATGAGGCCTGATGTGGTGTAATAAATTCCCTCACAGATGGTGTGCTAGGGGCCTGATGTGGTGTAGTAGTTCCTCCGGTGGTGTTTGAGGGGCTGATGTGGTGTAGTAATTCCCTCAGATGGTGCTATAGAGGGGCCTGATGATATAGTAATTCCCTACAGATGGTGTTGAGGGGCCTGATGTGGTGTAGTAATTCCCTCAAAGATGGTGTTATGAGGGCTGATGATGTAGTAATTCCCTCACAGATGGTTGTGAGGGCATCACGTGAGTAGTAGTTCCCTCACGGTGGTGTTTGAGGCCTGATGTGGTGTAGTAATTCCTCTCGATGGTGTTATAGGGGCCTGATGATGTAGTAATTCCTCACAGATGGTGTTATGAGGGGCACCACGTGGAGTAGTAGTTCCCTCACAGGTGGTGTTATAGGGCCTGATGAATTCCTCACAGATGGTGTTATGAGGCCTGATGATAGTAATTCCCTGGTAGATGAAGTGTGATGTGGTCCCTCACAGATGGTGTCTTGAGGGGCCTGATGATGTGATAATTCCCTCTGGATAATTGTTGTAGGGGCACTGTTGTGTAGTAATTCCCTCACAGATGGTATGTAGGGGCCTGATGTGGTGTAGTAATTCCCTCACAGATGGTGTTGAGGCCTGATGGTGTAGTAATTCCCTCACAGATGGTGTTTGGGGCCTGATGATGGTAATTCCTCACAGATGGTGTTATGAGGGCATCATGTGGTGTGTATTCCCTCATAGATGGTGTGTGGGGCATAATGATACTGTAGCATTCACTCGTGGTGTTAGCATCAGGGACACCATATCGTGTGTGTGAGACAGATGTTGGGCCCCCCGCCAAACTGGACCACAGCAGCGGTTCAGTACACCTGAGTCAACATCTTCAACACGTCTTTTTTAAAGTAGCCATATTTGTTTATAACTTGTTCCTGAGATGCCATTGTCTGGGTCATTGTTTACTCTAGCCAGTGCCCCCACCTTCCCGACATGACTCATCTTATCTTTTTCGCGTGAGGCTTAATTTTGATAGGGGATCAATACTTATGTAACTGTATTTTAAACCCTTGGATACGGGGGTTTATTTCTCTGAAGATGAGGGTTTAACTCACTGAGGCCGATGGTTTAACCCCTTGAAAACAATGATTTGCACCTTAGATTGTAGCTTTAATTCTTAATGTTAATAATGATAAAAAATAAAAACAACAATAATAATAATAACTTTCTGAGAAATAACACACACACACACACACCATAACATTAATCTAATTCCTTTTCTCTCCCCCACACAGGTAACACAGTCATGGAAGAGGACACCCACCCACTCACAAGTCCATCCGGTGTCAATATGAAGGTGAAGAAGGAACTACGAAGCAGGGCAGGCCGTTAGTCAGCGAGGTCACGGCGTCCCAGATAAATCTCACCAGTTCATAGTCATTAGAGTCAATATTCGGCTTCGTATCCGTGTTTGCCCGTGGCCACTTGGTGCAGCCTCGAACCAGTCTCCTGTGTTAGCAGAAAGTTGGGAAAGCAGAAAGTTTGGCAGATGTCTAGAGAGCTACATTGCTGTGTGTGTGTAAGAGACAGAGAGGTGGGTGTGTTGTAAGAAGCTACACGACGGTTTTTTGTGGATTGTTATTGAGAAAAAAATAGTTGTAGGCTGAGGTTGTGTGTGTACAGACGTCTTTCACAGGTTTAGAAGGCGGTGTTTGTGCAGTGTACTTCATGGAAAGACGCTGTGCACTGTTGCTGTGTGTAAGCAAGTCCTTTCACAACCAAGGAAAAAAAAAAGATTTATACAAAAGACTCGAGGCAAAATGTGTTGGACAATGTAAACCGGAATTAAAAGCCATAGTGAACAGGAAAGAACCTAGGTGCCATGAGACATATCCTGATACATAGCCAAGTTGTATAAACTCGCTAGAAGGTTGACAGATTGTGGTGTCCTATATGTTAGAAAACCTTTACGTGTTAGTGTCTCGGAGTTCAGGACTTGGTAGAAAGAGGAGGAACAGTTGATGTCTAGTTGTCGTGATTGTGGTGGAGGGAACAAATACAGGACAGTACTGATATTTATAACACGACTCAGAGCCAAGGAGTGAGACAACCCTTATTAGTCAGGACATGTCAGTGAAAGCTGAATTTCCTGGTAGCGTTCACTTACGCATTCCATTATCCTCATCTAACAGTTCCACATCCCATGCCCTGTGATCTGTTCCTTGCCACCTCTCTTTATCCTTCTCAGATTCACTCCCTCTGTTTTCACCTCCACCACTTCTGAGCTCCTCTCATCTCTTCTACTCAACTCTTCGTCTTCAAAACCTCCTGCCAAGATCTTTCGTCCATGTTTTCCCACCATTTGTACCTCCCAGAGCAACCTCTTCTTAGTCATGCTGAACCCCAAAACTCTTGCCTGCCAGACCCTCAGCAGAAGGCTCCCCACCACCGCAGGGAGAAGACCAACCACCACGGGAAGTCCCTCAAAAGCTCTAACTCAAAGAACCAGGGTCAGTTTCATGTCGAAAGAGAGGATTTCGATACTGGGGGGAGTTTACGGTACCAGGCCCCAGCAGGAGGAGAGGAGAGGTACCAGTGTATCGCCAGGAGCCACCAATACTCAGGCGTCAAGGGCAGTGACCAGGCGGGGGACCAGCACCAGGTGCCTGACCTCCACCACCCTGACCTTTACTGCCAGAAGAACCTGTTTCCCTCTGGCAGGAAGTCCTCTCAGGAGAACAGCTTCAACTATTTAGGTAAGGCTGAATCATTTTCAGCATCTGTTTGTCAGTGTTGTTTTTATATGGCTTCTCTCTTCTATTTAGTCCATCTGTCTTTGTGAATCTGCTTGTTTTTCTGTGTATCTATCCGTTTATTTTTTTTGCTCGACTGCCTCTTGCCCCTTGCAGTCACTGACAGGATCAACACTCTTTTCCAATTTGGGTTATTTATTCATGAGGTGCACCACTAACGTTGCCTCCCTCTGTGTGGATTCAACCGGAATACGAACCTGGAAGTCATGGGACCTCAACACCACCAGACATATAGCACGACTTGACCTTTTGAAATAATTTAGTTTGGGTATCCTTGGGCCATAGACATTCAATTTTTGGTTTATAAACAATAAGACTCAAAATTTAGCTTTACAGTCAAAAGATCTTTTAAAGTTGACTTAATTTTTTTTTTACTTGTTTAAAATTATGAATGATACCAGGAAAAATGGTCATTATTGACAAGTACCGCACTAAATTAAAACATTAAAAAAGATGATTACTAGGGTCTTATTTCCCCCAGCCACTATTCATAAGTACCCCCTGAAATATAAACAATTTTGAAAGATCGTTGTCTCTCCCCCCACACTAACCATTATTGAGAAGTACCCCCTAGCTACAACCAACCCCAGGTGAACCGTTTTGATGAAGACCTGACACGAACACATCAGTCCCTTGGCCTCACCTGCAGCTTCCTACACTGACGTGCAAGCAAAAGTGACTATACTTCTCTTTTCTCCTCATCTTGACATTTAGAAGTTATTGGTGCAAAGTTGAGGTCAGATAGATAGATATATAGTTGATTTTTTTTTTTTCATCTTGTATTAATTCATGGTTTATTATTATTATTATTATTATTATTATTATTATTATTATTATTATTATTATTATTATTATTATTATTATTATTATTATTATTATTATTATTATTATTATTATTATTATTATTGTTATTGTTATTGTTATTGTTATTGTTGTTGTTGTTGTTGTTGTTGTTGTTGTTGTTGTTGTTGTTGTTGTTATTATTTTATTTACAATACTGTATTCATTAATTTTTTATTATTTTTTGTTATAATATTTATTTATTGTTATTATTACCTGTACTGTAATTATTGTTTATTTTCACCCCCCAGGCCCTGATTTGGGCCAGTGACCTTTGCTCAGGTGGGTTAATCCCCATAAAAAAAGAAAGGAAAAAGTACAGGGTAGTAGGCAGCTATCAAACAGGGAGGTACTGTGGGGTACGAGTTGTTTGGGTTCACACTCAGGATGGGATGGAGAAAGGAAACTCACAATGTGCTCTCTGTGTACATATTATATTGGATGTACAATGCAACTTGGTGGCTGGTGCTGGGAGGAGGCAGCGTGGTTACAAGCGTGATGTAGAGAGAGCTCAGAGGAGGACCAGCTTGTGGGTCGCCATGCTCACCGGCGGGAGCGAGGGCCGCCAGGCAGCGGCGGAGGAGGTGGTGTTGCTTGCTGCGGCTGTAGCTAGAAGAAGAGAGTGGTCACCACGAGGTCAGGTCTTAAATAGCGGAGGTAGGCGTGGCTTAGTAGTTGACCTCGGTGATGTAAGGCGGCGCTGGCTGACCTAGACCACGAGGCATACACTGGGGAATTCGCGGGGTTGGCTACTCAGCGACAAACCGCGTTTGTAGGGGAGAAATCCACTACAGTACTACCGCCTAGGAAGATATTGGAAGCATAATGTTTTGTCTAATGGTAAACCCTGCTGCCATATGGCATCACGAAAATTGTGACCAAGTCCCAGGTTGCTGGGTCTCAATTGTTTCTCTTACTATGACAACACAACATACATATATCGTTTCTATTATTATTATTATTATTATTATTATTATTATTATTATTATTATTATTATTATTATTATTATTATTATTATTATTATTATTATTATTATTATTATTATTCTTATTCTTATTCTTATTCTTATTCTTATTCTTATTATTATTATTATTATTATTATTATTATTATTATTATTGTTAATATTATTATTATATTTTTACCCCTTGGCCCCAATGTGGGTCAGTGATCTTATGCCTGTTAAAAAGAAAGAAGATAGATAAATAGATACTCTAGTTAGATAGATAGATAGAGTAGCATCATGGAGTAAAATTTACAGTTAACAATTGAAGATGAATACAGAGGTTCTAAAGATAATCACCAACTGCAATGATGTAATCCTAACCTTAAGTTCCACTCTTGAACAAATAATTAAGTGTTGCCATGAAATTATTTGCCTTGAATATAATGCAGTGAGACTTCTATTTAATGGACTATATGTGAGAGGTTAGTCCGTTAGATCAAAGTCCATTAAATATGAAACCTGCTTCTAATGGACTATGAGAGCGAGAGAGAGAAGGTAGTCCGTTAAATATGAAACTTCTTTCTAACGGACTGTTAAATCGAAGTCCGTTATGTGGAGGTTTCACTGTAATGTCAATAAGGCTCAGATGGGTAAATACTTTTAACTATACAATGTACAGTACTTAATAGTACTGTATGTACAAAAGCACACAGTAGGAAAATTACACAGTTAAAGTAATAAGTATACTCACGATTATCAAATGAACACTGGTGTAATGGTCTGGCCTGAAGTCACTCCTGTAATAGGTAACAGGAAGGATCACTGTCCAAGTTTAACTAAATGTCATGCCCTACTACAGTACAAGGAATCGTTGGTAATAGCACACAAGTAGGACACACATTTGAACTTAAGTTGTCTTAAAGTCTGGCAAGTCGTTCTGGTAACATAAATATATACAGTACCGTATCGTGATGAGAAAACGTAAATGATGAAAAAATTAAAGCAATATCCTTCACCTCGATACATGTCATGCAAGAGGAATTTATGTTCCAGAGTGTGTTAGTCATGTTCATGTTTTCTTTATGACATTTATTATCACCAGAGTGCTTCACATGTGAATTTTTTGCTTCTCAAAGTGAGGAAATTATCACAGATTAATACAGAAAGGTTATTAAATTATTTGCCCTTAAAATTTCATAATATAAATAAGATAAATTAGAGACTGAAGAACTGTTGTGATTCTTTTGGTATCCATCCACCAACCAATCAGCTGCCTTGCTACAAACTGATCCTAGGCCTCATTTGCAAGTTGCTAGTGAACAGACTATAAACTGTTAAGGTACAATATTCATCAATAGTAAATTGAATTGAATTGAAACAGCTTATTTAGCCAGAAAAACACAGATACAGAGTGGATAATAATAACAATATTAACATGGCTGAGCCAGTTGAGAACCTGAGCTCTCTTTGAGGTACCTGATATATACTGTACATTTATCTCAAGGAAGTATTATGTAACATTTAGTATCAACTGGAATAGTACAATAGCATGGTGGTAATAAGAACATCTCATAATGTTACCACTATTATCACTTCAAAATTTATTAATTTTATTCGTTTATTTATTTATAGTACCAGTATGTATATGAATACTGTATATAGCATAAGCAGGGGCTCAGAATACTTCAAAACACGAATGTTATATTAAAGTTACATTTACAACAGATCATTTGCCAAGAGGATGCAATTGCATGTCAGGTTACTTATACAGTGTATTCTCAAGGTATGTTATTATGCTGTCACAGTGTAATGAAGGAATGGGTTTGATAATTAACCCCTTTGTTTATCTGTTTGCCACTGTATAATGAGGGGAGAGGCAGAATAACTGTTCATCTCACACATGTGTACAAAAAGTGTCCAGTGTGGAGGGATTGTTCTTCCATAATATTTATATTAATGAGATTTGTTTTTATTTCCTTAATTTTTTATATACTCTGTATTTATTTATTTTTCTTTAAAGGTGGCACAATGTACTCCCCATGTGCTAATGAGGGTTTAGGACGACACCTGAGTGGAGCCTTCTGGTCAGGTAGAGGCCCGGTATGTCGTCCAAGGTTTTGGAAGTTTTTCCTACTGGTGGTAGTGCTGTTGATGATGGCACAGTTCTCCCTCAATGTCCTCCTCTACCGCAATTATGATTCTCTCTTCTACGTCAATGTTACGTCCACTGAGGCATTGTCGTCCTTTGAATCTAAAGTGAGTAGCCAAAATAATGTACCGTGTTTTCTTTATAACTGTAGCCAAATTACAGTGTTTTCTTTGTAACTACAGTAATAACCAAAATACTGTACAGTGTTTTCTTTGTAACTACAGTAATAACCAAAATACTGTACAGTACAGTGTTTTCTTGTAACAATTAGCCAAGATAGTGTTTTCTTTGTAAGTACCATAACTTTAATCTGAGGTATTATTTAATACAAAATGTTAAAAACTCTTGAAGGGAGGATTGGTGGGGGGTGGGGGGGAGGGTTGGGACTGACCGTGCGGTTGGAAGAGGGGGGGAAGGCAAGGTGGGGTACTTTGATTGACAGATAGTGTTGTGAAGATTATTTTTTTTTTTATTAACTGAAGATATTTGTTTTAGCTCATAAAATTCATACAAATTACCCGGTCAGAATATAATTTACATTGCTGGAATTCTTATAATTTGGTGATCATTTTGAATATAAACATCATATATTTTGCATTAAACATACAAATTTTAGATAAAAATTTTTCTCTAGGTAACTATGTTATCTTTTGTGCAAAATATATGACATTTATATTCAAAATATTCCTGGTCTTACAAGGAATCCAGCAATGTCAATTGTATTATCCTAACTTTAGTTTGAGGTATTATTTATTAAAATTTAGTGGTTTTCCCCAAAAAATTTCTCAGAGAGGGAAGAGCCGGCAGTGTAGTGTGAGAGGGGGAGTGAGTTGAGTCCATTATTTGAATGGACATTAACTTGGCGACTGTATTTCTCTATTTCTCTTAAGTATTAATTGTGTGCATGTACCATCATAAAATTAAGATGTTATTTTTACTACAACATAGGTATGTGCCTTCAAAAAGTGGAGTTTGGGGGTCGGGCCGGTTTCTATTGGAATTAATCCCATATGTTCTGTTGTTCACTTAACGCGGATTTCACTTAACACGGGACCCTCTGGGTTCTATTGACCGCATTAAGTGGGGTACAACTGTATTTTGTCATTCTATTCCTTCTTTTGTCTTAAATTAAGTGATTTTAAATGTATATAAGGACTTAGGCTGTGATATAGTGGGATTTTAAACATTGTTCTGTAAGTTCAGTATGCACATAGCATGTATTCCGAATTACATACAGATCCGACTTAAGAGCGTCCTCAAGAATGGAACCCATTCATAACCCAGGGGCCCCCCTGTACTTAGATGTACAGCATACAGATATTTCATTAAAATATAGATAATAAGAATGTGTCAGATATGTATGTTGTGTTAGATGTAATTTTCACTCCCATTTTGTTTTGTTTCCTTCTATTGTATTATACTTACATGTAAACTAATTGCAGGTAAAATGGGTGAGCTCTAAGTTACCATGGTCACATTCCATCTCAGAGAAGCCAGGTGGTGTAGCCCAGTCGCCTGACCTAGACACCAACCGTATTCGCAAACCTTTACCAGATGGACAGAGGACGACGCCGAGTACATTGAAAATTGATATAGATGTAAAGAATTTGACAGGTGTAGAAAAAGTGGACCCAAAAAATTTGACTTCCACAAATGAAGCAATAAATGAAGAAGGGAAGAAAATAAACCCTCTTCATTCACCTCTAAATGACACAAAGAGGAGGAAATCTGAAACAAGTGACACAGTTAACAGTGAGAAACTTGCATTGAAGGCTGCAGTAGAGATTTCCAGTGCAGGTGATGAAAAGAAAGATACTGAACAATCAAAAATACCTCATGTTGATGCTGAGGTAAAGACACTGGTGAATGTCAGCAGCAGTGGTGTTGGTGTGGAGAAGAAGAAAGTACTCCTGAGTAAAGAGAAGCCACTTTGTCCTCCTGTGCCACCCAAACTAGGTAAGTCACACTGTACTTGTTTACATGTTCATATCACATGAAGATTAGCTCCCCTTCCTGTGGCTTATTTCACCTTAGATTATCCGGTAACCACCCTCATGTTACCCTAGGTAAAGTTAGGTTAGTGTTAGGATGCTTAATCTAAGGGGGAAATAAGCTAGGGTGTCTAATCTTCAGGTGATCCACATTTTCTTCAATCGTTTGTGTTTTCCCTTTTGATGTAATCTTTTTGTATTATACTTTTAAAATCCTTCCCACTTTACCACAAGATGACTGCAGTCATTAGTGACACAGACTGCTTCATTCATTCTAGCTTTCTTACCCGAGTTATTTTATTATGGTGATCTACTTCTACAACGGTACACTATGCTGCCATATCTTTGGCCACTTAATTTACCTGTTACCGCCTCCAACGCCGTGTGACGCAAAGGGCCTCCACATACTCGCACTAGCCATTTCGATCCTGAGCCCTTTCCATGACTGTATTTAACTCGTCCTCTGTCTCCCTTCTTTTAGTTCGGATCCATGTAGGCCTTGGTCTTCCTCCTCTTCTTGTTCCATCCACTCTCCACTCGACTGCCTCTCAATACTCTATCTGGACGCACACGCAGAACGAGCCCCAGCCACCTCCATCTATTCTTCATCAGCCATTCATCGATATAGGGAACATTTGTGACTTCTCTTATCAACTCATTTCTAATACGATCACGCCATCTTATGTTCAAGATTCTTCTCGATGCCTTATTCTCAAAAGTTAGGAATCTTCTGTATACCAAAACGGGTCTTACCAGTGAAGTATATAATCTCAGTTTGGTATGGGCTGTTAGTCTGTGACCTCCACACTTTGCCCAGTATACCCATAACTTGATGACCTTTTCTTATTCTATCCTGAAACTCGTCTTCAAGTGATCCATCGTTTTTGACGAGTGTCCCCAAATACTTGAAAACAGGAACTTCTTCTATAATTTGGTCCTCCACCTGAATGTTCCTTTCAATTTCTTGGTCTGTTTTCATAACCTGTTTTTCTAACATTAATCGTTAATCCAGCTCCGTTTCCCTTTTCCTCCAGTCTGCTAACCATAGTTCGCAAATTCTAAATGAGTCTGCTTATCAGTACTACATCATCTGTGTAATCCAAGTCTGCGAGTTATTTATTGTCAACCCATTCGATCCCTTCTCTTTTATCATCCACTGTCTCTTTCAATACGAAATCAATAAGTACAGCGAACAGCAATGGAGACAAAGCATTACTTTGCAACACCCAACTCTCGACATTGAATTCTGGGGAAAGTTGGCCATCAACATTAACACATCTGCTGCCCTTATGAATTTCTTCTATCAAACGAACGTATTTGTCTGGCATTCCATAGTTCCGGAAGGTTTTCCACACAGTTGGTCAATGTACGCTATCGAAGGCTTTCTCTAAATCGACAAATGCCATTATCAACAGTTTCCTGAATTCCACACTGCTGTATTATGTGACGTAGTGCGAATATATGATCACTGCAGCCTCTTGATTTTCTGAACCCTACCTGTTCATCTCTTAGCCTTAGGTCTAAGGATTCTTGAATCCTGTTCAGTATGACCAGACAGAAAACCTTGGATACTATTCATATTAATGTTATCCCTCTCCAGTTTCCACACTCGTAAATCACCTTTCTTGGGCAGTTTTATAATGATTCCTTGTTTCCATTCATCCGGGACAACCTCAGTGCTCCATATTTCTTGAAATAGCTTTAATAATACTTGAGGTGCACCATTCACATTGGCTTTCAGCATTTCTCCAATTATTCCATCTAGACCTGGTGCCTTCCAGTTCTTCAACTGTTTTAGTGCCCTTTCAATTTCCTTCACTGTAATGACACCCATATTGACATCCAATTGTTCTTCAGGCTGATGTATAGTAAGAGTATTAGCGCTATGAAGGGCTTTATTCATTACCATCCGGAAATGTTCTCCCCATCGTTCCTTTATACGTTCTTCTGATGTTATCGGCTCTCCCTTCATAGTACGTAGTCTTTTTTTTTCCCTGCCTATACCTGCGATGTCTTTAATTGTATCATATACTTTACTTACTCCATGTCCATTACCAGAATTAAGTGCCCTGTCTGCTTCTTCTGCCATATTTTCCAGAAAAAGTCGCTTATCACGTCTTGCAAGTCGCTTAACTTAGCTATTAAGTCTCCAGCATTTAGCTGTTTCTATTTTAAGAGCATCTTCATTTCCTTCAAGTCATTTAATTTCTAATCATTACTTATCCTACTCCTTAAACTATGGTTGGTTCCATCAGACCCCAGGACAGTATATTTGTTGTAAAACTAACATCTGGCTTCTTTTCCTTTGGTAATGGGCAAAGAAGTCTAGCATTGTGAGGGAGTTCAGGTTTTTCATTAATCAAATTTTAAGGTGGAAGGAAGGATGTAACACCAGTCATCATTCTTAACTAGTTTATTAATAAAAGTGGTCTTGCATTATATATATTACAGTACACTACGTCACAAAAAAAAAATAGCTGACCTTCCCCACCGAGGTCACTTCTTCACCATACAAAAATAACTGACCTCAATTTAGGTCACCCCTTCACAATAGAAATATATTGGCCTTCCTCTTATGCCACTCAGTAGCACCTGAATAAAGGAACAAGAAGATTGCACATTCGGTACTACGGACAAGTAATGTAACTTTCTCTTAGTACCCAATTAACATACACCTTATATTCTTGTAAGGTAGACTAGGTACTTCAGCTCACACATCATACAAGGTCAATACCTGCATCCTTCATACTTAGGTCACTGCAGTAGTAACAACACCTCAGAGTAGCACCAACACATCTTCAACACACAAGGTACTATGAGCTTGAACCTCCAGAGATTCTTAAGGGGACTGCACAGTGGCCACAGGTATGTCCCACTACACCAGGTGGGCTCCTCTCACACAACAGTGGTTTCCTCCAACATCAAACCTCTCTCTCCATGGCCTCCACATCTCACCCACACACAGGCTCACTCTACTTGTCCTATGTGAAGATTTCCCCATTACTGAGTGTAAACAAATTGTTTACTGGCCCTACTGGCCTTTGTACTTACACATAGAATGACAAAACTTACTAACTCATATCAACATTATGCAAGTCTTTAAACTGTATATAAAACTCTAAATATGTATCTGAATGCTCCGACTTAGCACAGACTGGCACTGACTGGTCCCGTATGAAGATTCCTGCATTACTGAGGCTACAGGCAGCATCAGTGCTATGACTAGGCCTGTGGGTGCAAGGTCTTACAAATCACAATGTCTTTATTTTGGCCCCCACACATAAATGTTCTTAATTATTGTGACTTCATGCCTTATAATTATACAGTATACGTACCTGAATTCAAAATTACATTATACAATCAGTTTCTGAGTTGTTGGGGTCCTGGTAAATTCCTTCACACATCTCATTATCTCAAAACTGAGGGCCTAACAGTTTTAGGCACCAACATGGACAAAGACCTTAGTTCTTGGCTTGTATTTCATTTTACACACTGTTTATGGGTCATACTCATCACTTTACAAACAGTTACCATTCCCAAAGGGTTCTTGAATCATGGTGCTGTCCGTGGCTATCCGCCAAATGCTGTAAATACGATAATTTCACTTTAATATAGTTTATGGGTCGACCCCAACACTTCATATAGATCTAATACACTTATGATTTTCTCAGATCATTATGGTACTTGTATAGTTTCACCTGCCACATGGGATAGTTATGCTTATTAATCTTACACAGACATAAATACCATAACCTTCAGCCATTGTTATAGTTATTCACAATACAGTATTACACTTATGTACAAATTGAGGCTTCCCAACCATCATATAGTTACCTTGAATTCTCCCTTAGTACCAATAACTGCCACTTTACATAACCGATGATTACATAGGGGAATTACCCTGCAAGTTTCGTTGATACCCCGGAGGTCCGATGATCAGGAGAGAAGCAGCAGAGCTGTTTCGAATTTGGCAGGTGGTGGCCAAGTGAAAATTCTTGCCATGATAGGGCTCTGCTCGCTGCCTCCGACTCATTCCTGCCATCTTTGCTCTTGTTTACCTTTACCGTGTGTCTGACTTCATGTTTTTGGTTATTTCCGACTTTGTGGGTTATGCAATCGTGCTGCTCCTCTTAGGGGCAGCTTGATATAATGTGATAAGGCATAATAAGGCATAATCAGAGAGGTGATGGACCAACAAAGATTGTTAGACTTAAACTTGCCACCCGTAGACCATCTCTACCATCCTCAACACAGTTAAACAAGTCTCAATTTATGCAATACTTTGCTTATTTAAGGCTTAATATGCTTGCTCTATATGTCTGCTTTATTTTCTTGCTTGACAGTGTGCACAACAAAGATATGTCAGAGGTAGATGGGAGTTTTTGGAGGGTGGCCTGTCCCAAACCCCTTGAATTTATGTTCTTATGGGATTAATTGTTTCGATAACTGTTGATTTACTAAACAACGACTTTTATCGGTCCCTATACATTTTGGTTATCGGGGTACACCTATGCAGACTTAAGTTTATATGCATGGACACTGGTATAATTTACACAAAACAACTCACAGAATATGAATTACCCCTTCAAAGTGTGTACCATTTTCTGTGATGTTACACCATAAAAAAATTAGATAATGTACTGCACAGTACAACAAGGCTCTTAAGATATCCCTCTTGTTTATCTGTTACCTAAAATGTCAAAGTAACTTTTTGGTTCTTCTATTATTAATTACATGATGTCATGATTAACACTGTAGCGAGGCAGGTCCCACCTAAGTGACGAGACTTGCTGTCCCCCATTCGACACCTAAATTCTGAACTCAAGAAACAAAGCACTTGGTTCATAAGGTATGAACCATTAGCAATACATCCCATTTCATGAACCCAAACAAAACTCAGATACTCGACCAAGTACGTACATTATTTCACGGACATAATACAGCCCACCATCTGTTTGCCTCTCCTCATAAACCGTGTGACACTGCGCTTTCTAATTTTATAGTCATGGCTACTTCCTAGGTGTCCATCCCCCTTTGGCCATCCTCCTCTAAAAATTGCATTGGTTATATGATGTACCTCAGTAGGCTCATTTGCTTATTGAGAGATGATTCTTATGTATTATAAAATGATGGCATGGAGAGCAGTAGGGTCCTGGGACATTCCAGCCTCAATGGGAAATTAATCCACTGCTTGGGTACTGTAGTCAGCATGATACAGAAGGTTTTCAGGTCATGAGAGAACTTGGAACACTGGAAAAAACACAAATTTTGCATGAAAAGCTTCATAGTGTACATGGTGTTCTAGTTTTGTAGAGTAGCAAGAAAACTTTCACCTTTACAGTATATTACTGCGGCAGAAACTCTGTATATACTGTACTTATTTTTTACAGTGGGTGCACTTAAGGTCCTCCGTACAGCACCGAGTCTTCAAGAACAGGAAGGCAGCCACCCAGAACTGGAGCCCGGGGGCCGCTTCAGACCAGCTGAGTGTAGAGCTCGCCACCGAGTTGCCATCATCATCCCATACAGAGACAGAATAAAGCACTTGTCTGTTTTCCTCTATCATTTGCACCCAATACTTCAGCGTCAACAAATTGATTATGCGATCTATGTGGTAGAACAGGCAGGTTAGTTTATGGAAGTTTGTCTTTGGAGTTTGATATTCATATGGTGTAACAAGCTTATTTGGTGATATAGTGCTGTATACAGAAAATTACTTTGTGGTGTAGATTGGTTATGTAATGCATTCAGTAGTTCAGAGTATTTTATATCATATAATCTGTGCTTAACCCTCTCCCGCATTCATATTCATGATAAGAACAACTTCATGGTGACACAAATCGAGTCGCCAAACTTCAAAAAAATTCACCAAAAATTAAGTTTTCAACAGATTTGCATGAAATTTTGATGCATCATAGTAGCAATTAAGTTTTATAAACTAAACTAAATGATAACTCTCAAGGCCCATAGGAAGGGAAGACCAGAACGATAAATGCGCAGTATTATCGAAGCAGTCAGACCATGAGTGTGAGCCGTGTCCATTTAAATTTCCATAACTTCGTGAGGGCTGCTTCAACTCCTGGATTAAAATGCTTACCCTACTCCCTGGAATATTTCCTTTAAGTCTTAGTAATGGTTATGTAATGTAATATTTTTTCATATTTACAGGGAAAGTGTTTAGTTTTCAAAAACCCATACAACTGTGTTACAGTGACGATGTCTCAAAAAAGTCTCTGAAAGAGGATGATTTTCTAGACGAATTTTATCAGTACCATTCTCTTTGTTATAGTGTTGGCTACAAGATGCAATATACTTTATATTGATATAAAGCATAGGCACAAAAATAATCTAAATAAGTTTTTTGCTATTTTCTCAAAACTATTGTTCATATCAGACATCTGATTAATGTGCTGGGAAGCTCATAAAATTCCGCTTCTAGCAGTGTTCAGTACTTAAAAGTTGGCTCAGATAATTTTGAGCTAGGAGGCTGTGAACATATTAGTGTGTATTTTTTTCAAATGTTTATTAGAAATGGCGAAAAATGGCTGTATACAGCCCTTTTTTTTTCTTTTTTGGCTTGTGTTGCAGAGCAATCGGTTACGAAGCCAAAGATGTGGTTTATATCGATAAAAAAGTTTTGGGGGGAAATTGATAAAACAAAAACAATATTCACCGTGAGCTGTCATGCCTGCCTTGGGGGGCCTCAGAGATGTGATCTTGGAACTGGAAAACTTGATACAGTCGGCCCTCAACATACGCGGGTTTATAATACAGTACACGGATTTGCAAATACGCAGATTGCCCCGCCGGAGGAATATTCTGTACATTGAAGTACATTCAAATTGCGCGGCATTCAAACTCGCACGCGGCACCGAACACGGGACACCGCCCGCTCCTGCAACCTCACACTCACTCACACACACACACACACACACACACACACACACACACACACACACACACACACAGCTCTCCCTCAAACAAGTCAGTCTCGCTGTAACCACGCTTGTGTTGACATCAGCATTGTAGTTGCAAAAATATTACATTTCCGTGAATGTATTATATCAAGTACAGTATGAATAGAATATCACTAATATAAGAGTATTTTAACCGAAAACTACTAAAAAAAACGAGAAACATATCTTGAACATCGGAAGGTTAGGTAAAGTCTTTTGTTTTCATGTAGTTTATCCTAATTTACATTGAAATGCATTACGTTTCAGCAAAACTACTATTTATTTCTGAGAATATGGAAATGTAATATTTTGCTGAAATGACGTACGTATTACAGTGGAAAGTGACGAAAGCAATGACTCGCTTTTTCTTTCAAAAGATGTTACCGTAATCGCTTTTCGAATGGTTTTTAGTTAAAAAACTGTTGTATTACAATAATATTCTATCCTAATTCACTTGTGATGCAACAGTTTTTTTAACTGAAAACCATTCGAAAAGCGATTACGGTAACATCTTTTGAACGAAAGAAAGCGAAAGTCATTGTTTTAGTCACTTTCCACTGTAATACGTACATCATTTCAGCAAAAATATTACATTTCCGTGAATGTAGTATATCAAGCACAGTATGAATATAATATCATTGTAATATAACAGTATTTTAACCGAAAACTATTAAAAAAACGAGTAACATCTCTTGAACATTGGAAGGTTAGGTAAAGTCTTTTGTTTTCGTCATGTATGTTATCATATTTTACATTGAAATACATCATGTTTCAGCAAAACTACTATTTATTTCTGAGAATATATTCATTCAGGCACAGTTTAGGTAAAATATACATGTGCTGTAACATTTTTTTAATTGAAAGCGATTCGACAAATGCGTACCCTCTAGCCCTGTTCAAGGAGAAGACTGGGAGGAGCTGTTTGGTGCTTAAGACGAAGACAAGGAAAATGATTTTGATGGATTTTAATGAAAATATTCAGAAAGACCCTGGCACTGTCAAGGAAAGTGGCTGCTGAAGGCTTCCAGGACATGGCAGAGGACGAGATTAGGGAGTTAATTGAAGAGCACGACACTGAGCTGACCGAGGAGGATCTACAGGAGTTAGTAGACTCAGGCAAGGAAGAGGAAGCGAAAGGGAAAGAGGATGAGGAAGAGCACCAAGAAATAACGTTGGAGAAGTTGGGGGAGATAACCAGGGATATTGAGGCACTGAAAAACCTGGCCTATAGTATGGACCCCTCCATGGTGCGTGCCCTGAAATTCATGCGAGGGATGGATGACGTTTTCGCTCCATACAAAAACATCATGAAAGAAAGAGACGACAACTCCCCATCACCATGTTCTTTGATCACTGAAGGAGAGATTTAACACCATCAATCACTGGCGGCAGTGAGGAAGCAGCTGAATCCACCGTCGCCCCCACTTCACCACCCGTTATGGAATTGAGTGACGATGAGCCCGATGACACCCGTCCTGTCGCCGAGGATAGGTACTGTACAGTAAAGTGAAATTTTTATCTCTTTTTTTTAAATAGCTTTTCTTGCCATGTTTATTGTTTGTAAAAGTGCACAGCACAGTACAGTTCAGTACTGTACATAGGAAGTGGAGGTGCAGTTATTCACAAAACATTTGTGTTCGTTGTCGGCAGCAGTGACGGTGAGGAGGGAGCGAGTTGGGAGGGGTGGTGGTGACCTTGGACGTGGGAGCAGGGACGAGTGAAGATGCCAGCCAGCACATTACGGGTGTATTAATTGTTTTTATAGCTATTTTTGCATTTTAATATTAAATATTGTACATTACGTTTCAACAAAACTACCACTTATTTCTGAGAACATGGAAATGTAATATTTTTGCTGAAATGATGTACGTATTACAGTGGAAAGTGGGATAAAATTGTGACGAAAGCAATGACTTTCTCTTTCTTTCGTTCAAAAGATGTTACCGTAATCGCTTTTCGAATGGTTTTCAGTAGTGGGATTATAAGGCTAATGATAGGATAGAATATTATTGTAATACAGTATGAGTACAACAGTTTTTTAACTGAAAACCATTCGAAAAGCGATTACGGTAAAATCTTTTGAATAACGAAAGAAAGCGAAAGTCATTGTTTTCGTCTTATCACTGTAATATGTACGTCATTCCAGCAAAAATATTATATTTCCATATTTATTTCTGAGAATACCTATATTCATTCAGTCACAGTTAAGGTAAAATATACTTGTGATGTAATATTTTAATGAAAATACGGGATCGTAGTTTTCTTTTGTTTCAAATTTAATTAACAAAGATTGATGTTTCAAATGTAATGAACAAAAATTTATGTACAGTATCTATAAATAAACTTTAATAAATGAATACTTTGTTTTACATCGTCCTGTGCTACCCATACCATGGATTTGGCTACTTTGGGCTTGCTGTGATGACGCAAGAGATCTGCCCTGGCAACTGTACTGACACTCACAGCTGGTGGTGCGTTGGTGCATCGTTTCCATTGTTTACTGGTAGTTACTGGTAATTATTTTTCAACCTAACGAAACTATTACCCGTTTAGAGGTCGACCCCCAATTTTTTGCCAAATAATTTGGTCTTAAAAACTTGAACTACAGTACACACAGGTATATACGGTAAATAAGGACATGGGGGGACCAGGTTTTTTTTTTGGGGGGGGGGGAGCACATATACGCGGATTTTTAACATCCACAGGTATCTCTGTTATGTAACCCCCGCGTATGTTAAGGGCTGACTGTACTTATCTCGTGCTCGAGGGGGTTAGGAAGGTTTGTAAAGGATGTATAGATTCTTATCCACATATATATTTAAATTTGTAGTAAACAAAACCTGGGCCCAGATCACTATTTACCTCATCTTTGGAAAGTAAATGCCTAAATAATTTTTTGGGAAAAAAAACACTTTTTGTCTTAGAATTGGATATTAATGTATTTAACTAATTTAGTAACTCCTGAATAAAATATGAACCAAAACATACAAGTGAGTACTGTCCAGTACTGTATTGTAATTAGTTAGTGCTAGGAAATGGGTGAAAATATTTCATGGTCACTAGCCCAAGTACCAGACACGTGTACAGTAATAACCAGAATTACTTCTTTATGAGTCTTGATATTTGATCAGCATACTTAGGAGTTTCTACATTAAGATTTTAAACAAACTCATTAATTTTGAAAAAAAAAATGTTAAGAATGAAATGGAATTTTGGGCAGACAGTATTATGTCCTTCATTCAAAACAGATCCAGTAGAATACAGTATTCTGTTGATGACCAAAAATCCACTTTCAGGTAATGGGAAGTTTAACCGAGCAATGATAATGAATGTGGGAGCCCTGGAGGCCCTCAAGCAGTACCAATACGACTGCTTCATCTTCCACGATGTTGATTTGCTTCCAGAGGACGATCGTAATCTTTACACTTGTCCTGAGCAGCCACGGCACATGTCCGTAGCCATTGACAGTATGCATTACAGGTGCGTTGCTATGCAGGAATTATTTATGCTTTGTTTTTTAGTTTTATACTTTATCACATGCCTATGTTGGCATGTGTTTTGGTGCCACTTGTGAATTTATATCTTTTTGTAACATGTTTATTAATCTTAAGAGTACAGTTAACCCTCACTTTACGCGGTCCCGCATTCCGCGTTTCCACGTTTACGCGGTGCCTTGCCAGAACCTCACGTGCTCACATTACGCGGTACGTGAACCCCATTACGCGGAGAGTGTCCGGCGCGACGCTATTTTTAGATTCGCCATTTACCCGCCGCTCGCTTCGCTCGTTTGCGTTTCGCTTCGGCTAAGCAGGTAAGGTTAAGAAAATTGCATATAAGTATTGCTGACGCGTCATATGACGATCGGATCAGGATTATGCATCCCTACCCCCCTCTGCTGCTAGCTGTAATTGGCTTAAAAAGTATTATGACGGTCCACCCGGGGAGGAGGAGGATAAACATGCTTGATCTAGCCGCTGTAAAGTTTCATCCTCAAATGTTCAAACGCCAAGATCCATTGTTCAGAAAATGGCTTTCCGGCCGACGCCACCCCTGAAAGCAAACCTTCCTTATTTTAACACCCAGTCAGCACTTAAGCCAAAGAAGACACGACGCTCCTTGGGCTACGAGGTGAAGTATACTATCATCCAAGAGTTGAGAAAGGAACAAGGTAGGCTGATTTTGAAGTACAAAGATGGTGAATGAATTCCACATCTAACAATAAAGAAGGATGCAGCCAGAAGATAAAGGACAGGCCATGAAGATCACAAAGTCTACAGGTGCTTCTATGATCAAGTATTTTCACAACCAGGTGCTTTCTCAAGACAGAAAAATTACTTGTGAGGTACTTGAAAGGCCAGGCGCGATGGAACATGGCGGTCGACAAGCGCTTGTTAAGGACTGATGACGTGAACTGTACATCGTAGTGGCACGAAGATGTGGGAATTATGGTGAGCCCTAAACTTTTTAATGCTTTCCTCTGGGTGTCGTATAGAGGTTTGGGATCCCGAACAAGATCACCAATATATACATTGTAGTGGTGAAGAAGCGTGCTGACCGTATGGCGTTAGAATTTTCTCTCGCTTTTACGCGGAGATTATGGAGGAAGGAGTCAGTACAGGACGGTGTTTAACATGGACGAATCTTACGGAAAAAGCTGCCTTCCAAGTCCTCCGTTGTCCAGTCTGCCACAGGATTCAAATGAAGATGGTGATCACCGCCCTGTTTTGCACTGTCAGCCTCCCGTACCTGTAAGCCTGGTTAATGATCCACACAGCACGCAAGCCGAGACGCTTACAAAAACCATGGATATGACCAAGCTTAAATGTCCATTGCTGACCGCAGACGAAGGCGCGGATGTTCTCTACACTGTCCTCTCCTGGTTTGATGACTCACTGTTTTGTCTCTTATGTAAAAGAAATTCTGTGAGCTTAAGCAGAATGTCATTCAACATTTGTTGCTGCTGGACAACTAATTCACACCTCGCCCCTACTGTTAGATCGTCAGGCCTCAACGTAAAGTGGCCTTCTTCCTCCCAACACTACGCCTATATTACAGCCCATGGACCAAGAGTTATCTGTAATGTAAAAGCTGCATTCTCAGCAAAAAATTCAGCTCCTTGAACGCATTACACCAACACTAGTAAAGAGTTATGTAACCTGGAGCGACACCACCAACGAGTATGTTAAATATAAGAAGATGATCAACAGTTGAACAGCAAAATACTGTTCAAACAATTTGGAGAGTATTTAACATCAAGAAAGTTGTGGACTTTGGTGGAGTCATAGGATCAGCTGCCCACGTTGCTACATTCACGAAGATGGGAGCATGTGTTGCATGGAATAACAGGTGAGAGGAGGAGTCAATCCTTGTGATCAGTGAGGTTCAGAATGTTGCAGTAGCAGTGGACCTTTGCCAGAGTAGGTTGGCAAGAGACTGTTACAGTTCCAGGCTTCTCCCGAGACCACCAACGCATTTACATCCTGAGGTGATAATCAGAATTCCAAGGAATGCTGCATTTAGATGTTGGAAGAAGATCACTCTCCAGTGAAGAGAGGCGAAGGCGCTTCTCCTAAGAACACAGTTTAACCCATAGTAGCATATAAAAAGGCGGAGGCAGAGAGTTGTTCCTTTCCGCGACAACAGACGATGACCACTATGGAAGTTCTTTCTTCCATACTCGGGTTGGTGCAGGCTATGGAGCCGCACATCACGTGTATCACTTAATAACATAAACACCAGCCACAAAAAGCAGAGTCTGTAGTTCTTCATCAGAACCCATTGCTACAGCCAAAGCCCAAGCCAGTGAAGATGACTTTTTGAGGGGATTTGTCAGGAAGTTCTGACAACTCTGCAGAGGCGTGGCTGCGTGATTCACCAGATTCCACCTGAGGCCAGTAATCTGCCCGGAACCAGCCTCCATCCCTCAAAAGTCGACCCATCTCTTTCTACTACCGTAAGTGTTCCACCTAAGTTTTAGTTTTTCTAACCTAACCTTATTTTTCCTATGTTAACCTTTTATTTTTCCTAACCTAACCTTCTTCTATATTATTTGCTTTTTTTCATACATCATAAAAGTTAAGATAAAATTTTACTACAACATAGTTGTGTGTCGCCAAAAAAGTGGAGCTTGGGGATCGGCCCGACCTCCATTTCAATTAATCCCATATGTTATGTTATTCATTTATACCATTTTACGTTGACCTCCGGTTAAGTATTGCACCGCAGTGAGGGTAAGAATGTTAGTAATCTCCCCATTAGCCGAAACAATTGGTTCAGAGTGTTTCCAGGTATCGAGACAAATTCTTTTATCTGTGCAAAAAATCGCATGTCCTTGGAATTTTTCTGGGTATTGGTGAATGTTTCCGTGTTTAAGCTCCACATCTGGCATGGAGCACCATTGCTACAGAGTTAACTGCAGTTGGGCATACACAGTTTGGTGTTTATATATGCCAGTATGCTGTCATCCTCAGTCACCTAATTTACTTTACGTAATTTCCAATCATTACTTAATTTTCTCTTTAAATTATGGTTGCTGCCACCAGATCAGATGGTATGTGTGGTATAAAACTCAATTCTGGCTTCTTTTTCCTTTGGTTGTGGGCAAAGAAGTCTTGCACTGTGAGTGTGTTTTCATTGATCAAACTTTAAGATAGAAGGAACAGTAAAACATCATAATACCTCTTAACTAATTTATTAATAAATATATGATACGAGGTCTGCTACACTTAGTCACATAATAAAAATATCAGACTTTTCCAAGTGAGGTCTCTTCTTTACCATACAAAAATAACTGACCATCTTAAGCAATGTCACTCCTTCACAGAACAAAAATAACTGCCTTCTACTCGTCTCTTAATAGCACGTGAATAAGAGGAACAACACTCGGTAATACAGACAGGTAATGTATCCTATTCTCAGCACCCAATTAACACACAGCAGGTACTTCTTCTCACCTTATATTCTTGCAAGGTAGACTAGTTACTTCAGCACACACAATCTTAAAAGTCCTTTACCAGGTAGTAGGCAGCTACCAAACAGGGAGGTACTACCACCTGGGAAGGTATTGGAAGCGTAATGTACTGTATTGTCTAATGGTAGACCCTGCTGCCATATGGCATCACAAAAATTGACCGAGTCCCAGTTTGCTGAACTGATTTTGCCTCATGTATACACAATTGCAAGGTTTCAATTGTTTCTCTTACCTTGACAACACAACATACATACTGTATATTGTTTCTCACTATTGGTCGTTTTTTTTTTTTTACTACAGTTGTATCCCGCTTTATGCGGTCAATTGAACCCACAGGGTACTGCATTAAGTGAAAACTGCGTTAAGTGAACAACAGAACATATGGGATTAATTCCAATAGAGACTGGCCCGACCCCCAAACTCCACTTTTTGACGACACACAACTATGTTGTAGTAAAAATTTTATCTTAACTTTATGATGGTATGAACAAACAAGTAATATAGAAGAGGTTAGGTTAGGAAAAATAAAGGTTAAGTTAGGAAAAATAAAGGTTAGGTTAGGAAAACTAAAAGGTAGGTGTAACACTTACGTTAGTAGAAGAGATGGGTCGGCATACGGGGGTGGAGGGGAGGGAGGGAGGAGGAGGAGGGAGAGGCGCGGGAGCGGGTGGCGGGTGGGGCGAATCTAAAAATAGCGTCTCGAGCCGGACACTCTGCGAGTATATGGGTAGATGAACCGCGTTAAGTGAAAGTTCGGTTCTGGCGAGGCACGGCGTATATGAGAAATCGCGTTAAGTGAAACCGCGTAAAGCGGGGTACAACTTTATTATTATTATTATTATTATTATTATTAGTATTAGTATTAGTATTTGTATTACTGTAGTATTTTTATTTTTTATTTTTTATTATTACTATTATTATTATTATTTTACTTTCCCCCTTGGCCCTGATGTGGGTCATTGACCTGTGCCCTAGTGGGCAAATCCCATTAAAAAGAAAAAGAAAATCTTCCTTCATACCTAGGTCACTGCAGTAGTAACAACACCTCAGAGTAGCACCAACACATCTTCAACACACAAGGTACTATGAGCTTGAATCCTCCAGAGATTCTTAAGGGGACTGCACGGTGGCCACAGGTATGTCCCACTACACCAGGTGGGCTCCTCTCACACAACAGTACAGTAGTTCCTGGGCCTGGTATGTCCCCCAACATCAAACATCTCTCTCCATGGCATCCACATCTCACCTCCGCACACAGGTCCACAAAACCTGTACACCTGTCCTGTATAAAAGTTCCCAATTACTGAATGTAAATAAATACATGTACTAAACTTATTAACTAACTTATTATATCAACTATGACATTATGCAAAGTTTTAATATGTATTTGAAACTCAACATTCGTGGGGTTAGGTTCCTCTAAAACACTGTGAATTTCAAATCCTTGAATATTAAACTTTAGACCTCTTGGTGAAAATGGGGTTAAGGGATCCACACCCTCAAAAAGGTACCTTTTATGAGTAATATTGTACATGTTAATACAGTAAATAAATATATGAAACTGGTGTGGTTGTGGTGCTGCTGCCTTTCCTGAAAACTTGTGATGGATAACCGTTTCATCTTGAACTGTAAATACTTGTAAGTTTCCCTGTAGGGGAGTATTACAGCCTCCAATTCCCTTTTAATTTTGACACATCATCCATGAAAGGGTCCAGTTCAACCACCATGTCACCCAGTATCCTGGTCTTCTGAGGGATTTCTGCCAGAACTTTCAGCATAAGTTGTGGTCTTGCCATTTCCACCTCATCGCTTTCGTTTTCATTTTCTTCACTTGAACGTATGAGCTCCTTTAGATCCTCCTCTGGTAGCTCCTCTTGATGTGACTGTAAGAGTTCCACCACTTCTTCCTCTTGCAATGCATTGAAGCACTCTCCTTCAAACCTGATTTGCCAACTTCACAAACCCTTGCACCTACTCATCTTTGTATACAGTAAACTCATTCACCGCCTCACTCCACAGCTTTCACCAGCAAGTATTTCAAGTCAAAGATTTAATTTCTTCGACAGACACTTTGATGGTTGTTATGCAGCCAGTGATGTCACACTTTTTCCAGCAGTTGGTGACTGTGAGCGAAGGGTCACTCTCCATCTGATCAAGGATTCTCCTGAAGGTGTGACGGGTGTAGTCGGACATAAAATTAGTAATAAGTCCCCGGTCCATCGGCTGGTGGAGTGAGGTTGCATTGGGAGGTAGAAAGACTACCTCAACTTGTGGGTGAGAAAATATAAAGATTTCAGGGTAGCCAGGTGCATTGTCGAATATCAGCAGGACCTTAAACACCATATTTTTGGACCTCGGATACCGTTCCACCTCTTGGATGAAACAGTTGGTGAACTGGTCATGAAAAATTGCAGCAGAAGTGGCAATAATATGGAGAACTAAGCAGTGTAAAATATTCAGGCCACTGTATGCCTACTCACAAAGACTATTTCAACCACTACCTTTCGGCTCACAGTGAAAGAACAAAACCAGGAGTGGTGATCGGATTTTTTTTTAAGGGCATGTAGGATATGCAGTAAGGAATTCTTAGAAGAGGAATTTGCATATACAGTATATTAAGTTCATTTATACATAAAGGGTTAGAAAGGGGATGAGAAAGGCCTTAGAAGCAGCATATGTTTGTAGAAATTAAATAAGAAACCATAGGGAGGGTCTCATGTGTTGGTCAGTGAATGCCGTAGACCTAGCATTGACGTCACGCAGCAAGGCAGTCAGGTCGTGGTCGATAAATGACAGCTAGTCAGGCTCCGACATGACAAGGTGTCCAGAGAAGTGAGGTGCACCCAGGTTGAAAAAGTCTATGGCTTCCTCCACTTGCTGCATTCTCTCTGGAGATTAGGTCTGTGTAGCCCAAAACATTAGAGAAACAAAGAACTTGGCACTCCCTCCCACCCACCAAATCCACTTGTCATCACGGATCAATCACGTATTGCTAATTGCTCAGCATTAGCATTGTCCCTCGTCTCATCAGCAGTGACAACAAACCACTTGGTGTCTCTAATGTCTTGGAGGACCTGGCAAAGAAGCTGGTTGCCCATCAGGCTGATCAGTTCATTTATTATTTCAGGTGATTGGTACAGTATTTGGCTTTTTTAATCCACTCATGTAAACCAGGATTATCATCTATTTGCAGTTTGGGAAGCTGATGTAGATTGCCCTCAGAATCCACATGGTCTCTAATTGCAAGTCCCTGCCACAACAGGTATCATAAGGATGGCATTTGTATTGATCAGAACATTTTCCTCCTGTTAGCTTGGTCGTACTGTGCCTGAACACAGTTGTGTGTTAACTGCTGGCTTGTCAAAAGATTTGTATTTGAGACAGGCTTCTTTGTGGGCATAGCTTCCTTTATTATTGTTACTGGTGTTTAGGCCATATTAAGCAATTTTAGGCACTGTTTGTGTAAATTTTTTGTGAAAATATTGGGTAGGCCCAAGCATACTTTGCCCCCTCCCCCAGCAATATTATTGCTTGGGCTTGTGCTCCAATGGTTCTCCCAGTTCCTACACCACTGCAGTAGTAGTGAATCATAGCACATGAACACACTCATCCTACCCACCCACACACTTGGCATGTGTTGGTGCATGATGCAATCTCAGAAATTCTTTCGAATGCCCAGAGTGGAGAGAATTTTCTTGGAATGCTCTTTGCTTTTTCCGGGTAATGGCAAGTTCTGGAATCAAAGATTCCAGTTAACGGGGAGGTTACGGTGCTGCTATACTACTGTCCTATCACCTATATATTAATTATTTTTCATTACAGGTTGCCTTATAATGATATATTTGGTGGAGTGAGTGCCATGACAGTAGAACAATTTCGAACTGTTAATGGCTTTAGCAACAAGTTCTGGGGTTGGGGAGGAGAAGATGATGACATGTCAAACAGGATAAAATACCATGGCTTCTACATATCTCGTTATCCAGCGAACATTGGCCGCTACACTATGTTATCTCACAGGAAGGATGACCCCAATCCTAGAAGGTATGTGGAAAGTTTCTTCAGTTCAAGGTAAGTTCTGCATTTATGTGTTGTGTGATTCTTAACCAATGGTGTGGGTTGGATCAAGGGGTACAGAAACCTCAAAGAAAAGTGGGAAATAAATGGAAACATCAAAGTACTGTATATAAAGATATAAGGATATTAAACTGTATGAACAAATTGAATGATGGATTGGTATTAAGAAATTAATTAATAATTCTGTAGGTGAGGTTATATTGGGCAAGAAATTACATGAATGTATGTAAGTAAAACATTCATTTTGTGAACTGCTACTTTATTTGGCAGTAGAAGATACGAGTAGTCAGGCACTTGGAGGAATTGTCATTGTGCTTTTTATTGGTTAAAAAATATTGCAATAGAGACAATTTTTCCATTATTCTTGTAAGCAGTAATAGTACAATACAACCCTTGATAACTCAGAATTCAATATAACACATAATGGCAGTAAAATATTCAACTGTAAATTATTTTTACATAATTTTTTTCCATACTTGCAATATTCCAAGATATAATGATGCACTAATGAGGCTCTGTTCACCCCTGGTGACTGCCCAGCTGAGTGAGTGAACTGTGTCACGTCGCCCAACAGATGGTTAGAGTGTGGAAGAAGCTATTCTTTGTATATAAAATAATATATACTGTACCAGTAAATGCGAGGAATAAATGAAAATAGTACTATTAAATAAAATAAAATAAGATATTGCACTGCCATTTAGCATTCATTTCACTACACACAGGACCTGAGACAGAGAACAGTGGAGATCTGTCATGCTGCTCTCCCTCACTGTGTGGTAACTTCTGCACACATAAAATGTTTATTCATTTTATGTTTTTGACCATATAATAATAATTTCTTTCATTATTTTGTCACTTTCTGTATGAAAGATTGTGTGTGCATATAACAGTAGAAAAAAGAAAATAGCATATGTCTACCCAAAATTTTGAGGTGAAAAATAACCGATTTGAATGTAAACTCTGGCGTCCTTTGCTGTCTTGCACTGTTTCTATGAACATTTCCCGGGCATTCCTGGTAAATTTGGTGTTGTAAGTGCTTACTGTATATGAGGCGCCTAGAATGGGAATGGCGTATCTCCAAAATGCCTGTTTTGAGTAAATCACATTTAAAGTTTTAAGTTTATGTACCATGGACACTACTGCATGGATTTCAATGAAACTTGCCACAAAAGTTGGACCATGTAAGGGATGTTGCCTGTGGAAAAACTTAGCCCCATATCCCACATATCCCACATCCCCAAACGCCCCTCCCCCTACCGCACCCCTTAAAAATACTAACATTGAATATCACCAAATTTTCACAAAACTGGGTACAGTGGTCCCTCGGTTAACGAGTGCCTCAGTTAACGAGATTTCGGTTAACGAGTTACCTTCCATAAGATTCTTAACTTCGGTTAACGAGCAATCCCTCGATTAACGAGTTTCTTACGAGCTGACCTGAACATGTTTTCACTTGCATTTGGCGGTCCACCAGCTGTAGTATTAGTCCGCCAGTACAGTAATCGGTTCTAGGGTTTAAATTCCTTACCATTTTAGTAAATATCAAAAAGTTTATACTATTCAATAATTTTAAAAGTTTAATATTAAATTTTTTAGTAATTTTAACAATTATTGAACATGCCATCCAGCCTGCCAACACACCATACAGGCGTCAGTCTTTGTGTCTTTTCAGTGGAGGTAACATCTTGCTTGAGACTCTCTTCAACTAAATGGTTTTTTTCTGTGTTTGCAAGCAAATTATTGGTCATTTTGAAATTTATTTTACATATTGACAATATATAATGCAGTGCAGTGTTGATTTAAAGAACATAATCTTGAATTACACCAAGAGAACTAAAATTTTATGGGTGAAATGGCACCATGGGGTGACTTCTCAACTTCTAATTTCACCAATAAAATTTTAGTTCACTTGGTGTAATTCAAGATTATTTTCTTTAAATCAACACTGCACTGCATTATATATTGTCAATATGTAAAATATATTTCAAAATGACCAATAATTTGACTGGAAACAGAAAAAAAGCGTTTATGTTGAAGAGTCTCAAACAAGATGTTCCTTCCTCTGAACTGATAAACAAACTGATGTCAAGCTTGGTGTGTTGAGTGGCTGTTAGGCGTGCAAAAAACTAGCTTCCTGTACTTCAATTCCGTTAAAATTGTTAAAATGACTAAAAAATTTAATATAAAACTTTTAAAATTATTGAATAGTGCAACCTTCTTGATATTTACTAAAATGGTATGGAATTTAAGCCCTAAAACCGATTTCTGTATTGGCGGACTAATACTACAGCTGGTGGGCAGCCAAATGCAGGCGAAAACATGTTGGGAAAATTTTTTAAGGAATTCCCTAACCGAGGGTTTGCTCGTTAACCGAAGTGAAGAATCTTATGGAAGGTAATTCGTTAAATGAGGCGCTCGTTAACCGAGGGATCACTGTATTATGATTATTTTTATGATTGTTATTGTTGTTATTATTATTATAATTATTATTATTATTTTTATAGATTCACATTAATTTTTTCATGTTTCCTCACTAAGTTTGCATTTTTTGCAGTAAAAAATGTAAATAAAGATCCCAGAAACTTACACAGTATGGGTACTGTACTGTATTTCCAAATGACCCCTCAAAAAATAAGAATAAAAATGGTTTCCTTTAGCTAAACTGTTATTTCATTAATTAATAGCAGGGGTGTTGTCTGGTGAATTAAAACAGGCACTCTTAGATTCACCTTTATAATCACCATTTATCATTCCAGGTACCAGTACTTATACGATGGGAAGAAGAGATTTAAAACAGATGGCGTCAATAGTGCCAAATACCGAGCGTTAGATGTTCAGCTACGTCGACTCTACACCTGGGTTTACGTAGACCTTTATCCCTCATGATCTTGCCTGTTCTTCCTTGTGTGATTGTTATTTGCAGGTAAAATACCACTGGTAGTGCTTGCTCATCTCACATGTGTGTATATGTGTGCACGTGTGTGTGTGTGTGTGTGCGTGCATGTGTGCGTGTGTGTAGTACATGTAATAATAATAATAATAATAATAAGTGTGTGCACTTGTGTGTGTGCATGTGTGTGTATGTACATGTGTGTGCATGTGTCTGTGTGTGCGTGCAAGTGTGTGTGTGTGAAATATTTTGTATATGCAAGTGCAAAGTGCAAATAAAATGTGATCATTGGAATAAGTCTGTGACCTGGTGATTTATTTATAAGTATGGATGTGATAAAGTGTTGGTCATCCATTACCTCCAATCTAGTTAATCTCTGTTAAGTGTAAGTCAAGGGAATATCAGTGAATCAACTTTGAAGTGCTTTATGAGTGACTTGTTCACCACTTTTATATGTTCCATTATTAACTTATATGGTAAAGTTTTTCTGAATACAAAGATATAAATTATTTACTATGTGTAGTTTTCTTGCTATAAAATGTTAACCATATGAAGTATTTAGAAGACTGCAGAATAAGTGCAATATCAATATAATTCTTGTTTTGTAAGTTGTGTGTGAGGTATCATTAGCCTTCCATTCATAGTTGTAGTCACTAGACTGCACTGGGAGCACACCATCGTGTGCTTCTGTATTAAGATGAACCTTTAACTCTGGGCCATCTGAATGTGTATACTCACTCCTATTTTGTCAAGGTGTGTGTGTGTTCTCAACAAGATGAGATTTTATATGATTAAAACTTTTATGTATTTGTAAATCTCAGACATGACTGAATTTACTGGTTAATGAGGAAGAAAATGAAATTCAGGATCTTTTTCTCTTGGCTTTTGTACTTTTATTTCAATTGATTTATCTTGTCTGTGATACTGTTATATAAGAATTTTCAACAGTTTACACCAGCCATAAGAAATCATCACAAATATTTTATAATAATGATACTGTACAGTATATGGAAATCATACATCTAGAAATTTGATTACAGGTTATTCATATTTTTACATAGTGAATTAAAAAATAAATGTAATGTGTTTGAAAATGGGGTGGGTAATAGTTTATATTGAATACTAATCAGTAACTTTGGATTATAGGATAGTTGGAGATAGTGAGGTCCTGGCAGTAAGGAATAGACCAAAGCTTTCTTATCTCTTGAAGAGTTGAATGGCATATTGTGTTCGCTGTCTGTCATCTCAATTTCTTCAAGGGCTGAGAACTCAAGAGTAAGAGTAGCATATTAAACATTTGTTCCAATAACACTCTTAAGCATAGACTGTGGTAATATTTTAAAGAATTAATGTGTTAAAAATATAAACAGTGACTACAATAATATGTAATGCATTTTGTTGCTGTATCACTGTAAAGTAATTTCTGCTGTAGTGCATTAAATATATAACACCAGAGATATTGTTGCAGGAACAATTTAAATATCTGCAACTCTGACAGATTAACTTTTTGCTTCTATGATACTTTAAATCCCTACTACACTCACTAAACATTTACCATAGGTGCTATATAAACATGAGCTACAGTACAGTAACACTTAAAACAATATTTATAAAAAACAAGCATTTAAATCAACAATATTTTAGACATTTAGAGCAGCAGTAACCCAAAACATTTGCAACAATAACACTTCAAAGAATTTTTATAGTAACACTTTTAACAGATGTATCATTAATGCCCTCAATATTTTCAGCAAGAACTCTTTAAAACATTTGAAGCAGTGACACTTAAGTAAGATACAGTACAGTAGAATAAATTACAGAAAAGTAGAATTAGAGTAAATTATAATAGAGGGGGATTAGAGTAAGAGTGAATTAACAATATGGTAGGTATTTAGAGTGACTAAATTATCTTAGAGTAGGGGAAGAGTGAAGTAAAATATAGTTGAGTAGGAGTAGAGAGAATTACAGTAGAGTTTTGATTGCAGTATCGTGAGAAGAAGGATCAACCATAGGTGAGGTTATAATAGATCCCTTTACAAAACACAATAATTAATTCCTTATACAAAATAGTACACACATATTCCTCCTCCTCCTCCTAGATATATTTTACTACATACTGTACTAAAAAAATGGGATTACTTGAAGGTTAGATCCCCCAGCTCATTTCACCAGAAGGTTAACCACCCCAATGTTAAACTAAACTTATCTTTACCCAGTCTGATGATTAAGGTGGTTAATCATCAGGTGAAATAAACTAGAGTATCTTATCTTCAGGTGATCCTAAGAATGAGATACTATTGGAGATTTGGGACAATTTCCTCTGCGTAATAGGGATAGTTTGCAAATACACGCACAAATATTTAGTCTCTTTATTTTTATACCATGCTTGTGGTGTACACCCAACCTAACTTTAACCCAACCCAGTCTTACAATATTTGCACATTTACCCAGTAGGTCACATAAGTCCAGGTTTTCCAGTTTCAATAAATGACAGACAATACACTGTAACCCATTTGCTTATTCTCTTCTTTAGTCTGTCGATTGGTCTTCCACCTCTGCATATATTTTCTTTTGGTTTCTCTCTAAATCATATACCAATTGTAACTACAGTTTTCTTCACTTTTCTTCTTGTTATTGTCTTTATGCCTTTTTCTCTCCATCATTTCTCCGGTGATTTATCTCCAAGTCAGGTACGGTGTTTGTTTTTCACTGCCACTTCTAAATCATGTGTCAACATTGCACTGTCACTATGTTGAAATGCACTGTAGTTTGAGCTTTTCCCCATCTAGTTATTATATATCTTATTTGTATCACTTATGTCACTTGTATATTATTTGTAATTCGAAACCCATTCCCCAAATATGTAACTGTATATTTTCAGCCTTCTGGCTGCCAAGCTCTTTCAATAAACCGTTAATAATTATTATTATTATTATTATTATTATTATTATTATTAGGATCATTCATGTTGTTAGTCGTCCTACATATTTGTTTTGCAATTTCCCTTTATCTGTTTTTCCCCTACTTTCTGTGTTATCACCATTATTATACAGCCATTTTCCATGCATGCTTTTGTTTGCTGTGATAACTGATGGCAGCTCTTGCAGCCTCTCTCATTTGATTTTATTCTTCTAATTTTAAGTGTGCTCAAGGCTACTAGCAATTTTTGTGGTCCAAGTCTTAAGAATCTCCCAGAGTTTTGATGTCTCTTTTACTACAGTATTCATATTTCTGAGTTAGAGCTCTTTTGTCAAACTCGGGTAATACTGTTCCACCTCTTCCTTGTGTACATACAGTACAGTATGCGACTTTATACTTGCAGTAGCTATGTATTTATTATCTTGGTTCATATCTCACACATCATCATCATTTTATGACTGTTTTTAAAAATCTTTCTATCCGTATTTTATGTTCTGTATTCCAATTCTCTTCCATCCCATTCTTTTATTAAAATCCATGATTTCTTTTGTTCAGTTTATTCTTGCTGCAGTTCATATACCCAGTATATATGGTACGGTACTGCATTTCTTTTCATTTAAATTCAGAATGCAAATCCTCTGTCTTTCATTAATTGCCATAGTAGTAGGATGAAGCTTATACACCTCTGCAAGGTTACATAGTTCCTTGTCTACGGTGGGTTTAAGTCCCAGGACTGTAGAAGTAAATATCATGGAGAATAATTTTTCTGTAGCCCTCTTTAACTGTTTACAAAGATTATGTCCTTCATGGAGCTAACCCTTAAATGGAGGCCATCATCAGTGGAAGGTAGTTGTAGGGACAAGAGGCCATCATCATTGGAAGTTAGCTGTAGGGACGGAGGCCATCATCAGTGGAAGGTAGCTGTAGGGACAAGAGGCCATCATCAGTGGAAGGTAGCTGTAGGGACAAGAGGCCATCATCAGTGGAAGTTAGCTGTAGGGACGGAGGCCATCATCAGTGGAAGTTAGCTGTAGGGACGGAGGCCATCATTAGTGGAAAGTAGCTGTAGGGACAAGAGGCCATCATCAGTGGAAGGTAGCTGTAGGGACGGAGGCCATCATCAGTGGAAGGTAGCTGTAGGGACGGAGGCCATCATCAGTGGAAGGTAGCTGTTGGGACGGAGGCCATCATCAGTGGAAGGTAGCTGTAGGGACGGAGGCCATCATCAGTGGAAGTTAGCTGTAGGGACGGAGGCCAACATCAGTGGAAGTTTGCTTTAGGGACGGAGGCCAACATCAGTGGAAGGTAGCTGTAGGGACGGCGGCCATCATCAATGGATGTCTCGTATTCCTTGTGTTTCATTGTTGTGCTTGTGATGGATTGGTACGGAATCTTTGCCATCCATTTAAGGGTTAAGAACAGTTGTACAGTAGTTATGTTTCCATTTCTCTGCACATTATGGTTTTACTAGACTTTCTAAGGGATTATTGTTCAGTTACATTTGATATTTATGGGAATTCTTTGTATTATGTTTAAGAAGTTTATCTATGAGTGGTATTCATATCATCCCATAGCACTCATAATATGTGACATGGTTTCTCGAATGTCTCCCTGTGATGTCCATATGAAAGTGTACAGTTTACCATACATCTTAATATCTACTGAAGCATTGTGTTCTAAGGGAATTTGACAGCTCTCCCCATACTACTGTTATGATGTGGCAAGTTTTCCGCCATGCTACCCATGGTGTTAAGATGAAAGGGTATATTCAGCTAATTGTGAGATTGTTCTGAATAATAAACCAGTAACTTTTCGCATTTGATGATGCATTTGTTTTCCAAAGTTTCATTCCAGTGAACAAGTTTACTAGTTGGTGTATATGTGATAAACAGTTTTTTCACTGTTAATCACAAGTTATTGCACTGATAATGTGTCTATATTATTGGAATACACAGCAATTTAATAATGATAAGGGGATGCATTTATCCTGTGAAGAGTCAATACTTCAAGGATGGTTTAATTCCATTGACAAAAGTGCCATGTCTTCCAATTTCTTCATTGGTGAATACAGTACACTGTATAGCTTTTTTTTGTAGTTCTTATATATGGTACCAGAAAAGTCGAGAACATGTAATAATAAATCTAAATGAATATGAATGTAACCTTTTCTTACTAACAAGAAATTTATGAATTGCAACACGAATCTTTTAAATTCTCCAACTATTTTGATGTTTGTAAAAATACCATATTAATTCTACTAACTTGATTGTGTTCAATATACAAAGTTTTGAAAATAAATAGTTCAGTTTTTCCTTTATAGAGCATAATATAGCCTTTACTTCTTAGCTCTATTATATTCCAGGCTCATTACTCCACACAAACACCAAAAAGTGACCTTGAAAAACCATAGGTGACAAGTCATTAGCTTTGCAAAAGTAATTCAAAATTTTCAGGAATCATTTGAGCAAGTAATAATCCAGATATTGAATTGTAGATAACATAGCCTTCATCAGCATGTTCAGTACCCGGTACTACTTGTATTGAGATTTTGAACAAAGTCAGCGAGATCAAAATTATGGCTGAAACGGTAAACCTTTTTCTCTCAAAATTTGAATTTAATGTGTGTAACAACTTAAATACAGTTGCCTCAGAGGCAGTGTCACAATACAGTAGAAGTCCAAAAATCCGGACTGCTTGGGGATTGGGTCGGTCCGGATTTTCGGATTTTCCGGATTCTCAGGCAGTATTTGTAAAATTCAAATTTAAGAAGGAATAAAGAAGAGATGAACAGGTACATTTTGATAGTTTATTCATTAGCAAATATAGCATGCTTCATTTATCAAAATGAGCAGTTTTAATGAAAAAGCTGTGAATTCTAGAATTTTATTCTTTGCCTTTTTTATATCATAAATTGTAGACTTAACAATGTCGTATGTTTTCATTAGAACAGTATTGCTCACACCACGTTCTAGTTTCTTAATTATTTCAAGTTTGTTACTCAATTTCAACATGTTCTTCTTTCTCTTCACACAACGAAGTTTATCTACTTTAGGAGCCATTATTATGGGCTTGTACAGTACTCTGTAAATGGAAAGAGTAGGACTCAAAATATTGTTATATTACAATGGTATTCTATTCATACTGTGCTTGATATAATGCATTCACGGAAATGTAATATTTTTGCTGAAATGACGTACGTATTACAGTGGAAAGTGGGATAAAATCGTGACGAAAACAATGCCTTTCGCTTTCTTTCGTTCAAAAGATGTTACCGTAATCGTTTTTCGAATGGTTTAGTTAAAAAATTGTTGTATTACAATAATAATCCCTCCTAATTGACTTGAATAAATACTTGAATGGAAATATACAATATTTTTGTTGAAACTACCCGCGTTTCAGTGTAAAGTGTCGTAACAATAAATGGTAAACAATTTGCCTTCGGCACTCGTTTCAGGCACGGTGAGCCTCAGTTTATAGGACGTAGAGCGTTTTTACTGAAAGTTTTGTTGTTCCATTACCCTCAAAAACGTGGGTCGAACTATAAACGAGGAATATCATAAATTAACGATTTCTTGGTAAAAAAATCAGGGTTGACCGATAAACGAGGGGCGGTTATAGACGAGTATATACGGTATGTTGTCACAGTTTGATTGCTAGTTTTAAAGTGGCGACCACGTGGTCGCTTGTTGTCGCTGTGGCGCTCACACAAAGCCCACTTAAAAAAAAAAGTTTTTGAAGAGTCCGGATTTCTGGCATCCGGATTTTTGGACTTTTACTGTACCAAATTTATAAATGAATGGGTAGTACACTAGTCTTGTAACGATGGAACCGATTGGTGGGTAAGTTCAGGTGCTGGATGGATGTCAGGAGACGGAGGTTTGTAGGGGGTCTCTGCCCCAAAGGTAAAACTGTGAGGGCTACTTTACCACAATACTATTAAGTTAGATAAATAGTCCTCAATCCTTTTTCGATATTTCATGATGACTGAGCACACCTGTGAAGATGAACCCCACCGCTGCCACGACCACAACACCTGACTCTTGCCACACTTCAGGATACAGACATACTGTACCATTATCCATATTTATGCTTAATGCCTTTTGCTGTCTGTATACTATGCTTGCCGGTTTCCCATGATTAAAATAAAACTCGTGAATTACGCTGTATAGCTATCTATTGATTGTCATATATTCAGGTGGTATCAGTGTGGTAGTGATGGGTCGAGGCTGGCAGGGGTGCAGTCACTCATTGGAATGATCGTATCATAAGTATTCTAGAGTTAGTAGTGAAGGGATGTATTTTAGTTCTGATATAATCTTTTGTCTCTTTTTATGTATCAATAAGAACTGACATTTCACACTTAACCCCTAAAAGGTCATACAGTATTATTATACATACCTGGTACCCCCCCTGGTTGGGAAAAATAATTTTGTTTTGAGCTCAAACACACCAAAATAACCTAAGAAATACTATTAAAAGTGGCAATTCACCTTTTTTAAAAGTGCTGTTTGTCATTTAAATTCTGGGCTGGTGCAGTAGTGCCAAACCTACTCGCTCTCAGTGCTGTCATGGTAATTCCAGTCGGTCTTGCACCCATGTATACACACAATGATTTTGTTTGTTTTTTCACACAAAAATAATATGAATTTAGTTGCATAGCAAATGAAACTTAAAAAAAAATTATGAAATAAACATATGGATGATTTTTATTACAAGCAGCACCACACTCAAGGCCGGGGAGGTATTTTCCATCCCTTAAGGTTTATTTTCCTTACATTTTTAATAATTTTATTCATTTATATTGTACTTGGATTACTATGGCAATGCACAGTGTAGGAGGAATGAACAAGTGTGGGAGAGGAAGGAAAGGAAGGTGTGGGGGAGGGAAGGGACAGAGGAAGGAATATGGGTGGATGTAACAATGCAGTGTGACT